CAATGCTATCTTTTGCTTGTTCTGATTTTCATAATAAATGCCAATACTATTCAAACTGAAAGCAATATCAACATGACCAGATGGATACACTTTCTCTCTCATTTTCAAAGCTCGTTGATGATAATCGAGAGCCTCGTCGTACTTTCCTTGGTTATTAAGAATAGTACCTATGCCATTGAGGCTATGAGCAATATTGGGATGATCAGATGGATAAAATTTCTTTTGAATTTTCAATGCTTGTTGATAATAATCGAGAGCTTCATTGAACATTCCTTTATCGCTAAAAATGTTACCAATCCAGATAAAGCTTGTAGCCATAACGGCATGATCAGATAGATAAAGATTCTCATGAATAGTCCATGCTCGTTGAAGATAATCAAGAGCTTCATCATGCTTTCCCTGTAGATAGAGATTAATACCAATGTTATTCAAACTATCAGCAATATGAACATGACCAATTGGATAAAATTTCTTACGAATTTTCAATGCTTGTCGATAATAGTTGAGAGCTTCGTCGTACTTTCCTTGTCGATTGAGAATGTTACCAATGTTGTTGAGTACATGGGCAGAATCTTTGATACGTACTGGTTTAGTTTTCATCATTCGATCATACGCACGATCATAATATTTTCGAGCTTCATTCCATTCACCTTTTAAACAGAGAGCTCGACCAATATTAAATTCAATCCAAGCACGATCTTCGTCATTTGAATCATTTAATAGCTGTTGAAAATATTTTTGAGATTTATCATATTTACCTAAATCACACAATAATCTTCCAAAAACAATCGAAACACTTAGTTCTTCTGTTTCTTTTTGTGTTAGTTCGATAAAGTCTTTAGTAATTTTTTGTCCTTTATTTGAAGGTATCATTTTAATTATGTTTAATGATTCTTTTTCTTCAATAGATTCAATTTTAAAACAAGTATTTAAATCAAATAAAACTTCTTGTTCTTTTGGATGATCACTAAATTGAACAATATCAGCAAAAATAATATTTTTATCAATTTGTTTTATATCACATTGAATATGGAAAAGAACAGGGATGACATCCATTCTCTTTGTTGATTTCGTTGCAAAATGTAATGCTAATAATTTTTCTCGGCTTGTAGATACATATCCATTCAGTGAAATAAGTTTTCCTTGATTTTCTTTTATTTTATTAAATTCCTCATGATCGATTTTAACTCCTCGATAAACATTTAACACTTTTTCTTCGGATAATAAAATCTTTTCATGTTCACGTCGAAGATTTTCGGAAAGATCAACAATAAAAAATCGAAATGCATATAACAAATCAATATCTTCGATCCTTAACGCTTTATTAATTAATTTATAAACAAATGATTGTTTTGAATACCAACGAATTGCATCTGTTGATTGATAATTTTTTTCAAAATCATAAATTAATTTCATTTGTTTTGTATTTCCACGATAGTATTCTTTACATATTTGAATCATTTGTTGTTTTGCATTTTGATTTCGTGGAAGACGCGCAATAACATAACTAAATAATTGAAACCAAAGAAAATGTGCTGAATCATTCGATAAGTCTTTAGTCGATTTTTGATGTCGATCAAAAAAAGAAAATGTTTGTATTTGTTTATGAACAAGATCAATTTGTTCTTTAATTGATTGACATAAATCATCTAGATGAGCATAAATTCCAATAATATTTGAATATTCATTTAATAAATACTCATATCGGTTTTTTCTCATACAAAAGATAAAAATTGAATCAATTTGACGAAAAGCAGAAATTATAGGTAAAATTTCTGATGCTGTTGATCCTGATGTAATGAAAAAAATTTTTTCTCGATGAATTAATTGAATTAATCCAATACATTGTTCAAAATCATTACAAAAAATAATATAATCATTTATAAGACGAATTTGTTCTTTTGTTTTTTCAGTATCTTCATATGTACCAATATATGGATCATACCAAATAAGTGTTATACTTTCTTTATTTTCCTTATTTGTTAGGATCAGTAATTGATCAAGTGAAGAATCATTTGTTCTTTTGATATTTGATGTTGAAGTTTGTGTCATAATCACTACAAGAATAGTTTTTTTATTAGTAAACTTCGAGTTCAAAGAAAGAAAAATAAAGAATTATGAACCGAATCGATGAGTAAATATTTTCTTCAATTTAAATTAAAATGTTAATTTAGAGCTTTCATTTTCATTTCATACATATTGGGACTTCGTGAAATTTTTGTTTTACTATTTTACTATTCATGAGGTTTCTTATTTTTAGGGTACTGTCCATTTAAATTTTGAGCATTTTTATTGGCTTATTTTTATAGTACTCATCTATTTAATTCTAAACATATTGTCTATGATATTTTCAAACACTGTTTCGGTAGCAAAACTGAAATATAATTTTACTTCTTACATGACCATAAACATAAGAAATTCGTATTCAAAAATTTTTATTATGAGAACTTTTCTTTTCAATGACACCAATAATATTTTCATAGTCAACGAAAGTATTTATGTCGAATAGCGTACTCAATATGCGTACAGCAAGTTTTTCTCACACTTCGATTCTTAAATCTTCTAACGATTTTTTTCCAATGATCTGACCTGTATTTCTTGTGAGAATAATATTTGACGATGGTTGGTTTTAAGTATCGAATATACTCTTCAATGTAGATATTTTTTACTAATTCTGAATATTGTGTATCTTGCCTCGATTCGAAGAAGGATAAGGTATCGAGCAGCTACAACGGCCAAATATTTACGTGTTAATGTGTTTGTTTGTTAGTTTGTTATTTAGCGTATCCGTTATGAAGAACGAAAGAAAACATCCACGTTATGCGCAAAAAATGTAAAGACTTGAGCAATAGTTTGTATTTTTTGTTATTTTATACATAGTTAGATAGAACTCCACAAGCTCAGTAAAAATATATATTTTATTTCACTTTGAAAGCTTTTTGATATAAAAATCGATTTTTGTTTTTCGATAGTTCTGACAGGGTCATTATTTCTAACAGTATGTTTTTCATACTAAAAAACTGATATGTTTTGATTTGCCATGAAAAACTGAATGTGTGCGACTAATTTGCCAATTAGTCGCCCACTCTCAATTTTTTATGGCCAATTGAAACATATCAGTTTTACAATCAGCATGAATGGACAATTTTTTAAAAATCGAAAAATTTATTACATTTTTAGTATGAAAAAGCATACTGTTAGAGATAGTGATCTTTCTAGACGTATCAACAAAACTCGATTTTTTCATCAAAAGCCTTTCAAAAAGTTACTGAGCTCGCGGAGTTCTATTTAATTATGTATAAAATGATGAAAATATAACATTGCTTGAATTTGCATTTTTTGCATCATATATGTATATGTATTTGTATATACGTATGCATACAATTGGTTATTGAATGAAAAACATTATACGTATAGAAGAATTGAAAATGAATGTTTTGTAAAATAATCTTAGGAAGAATTTAGAAGTGTTTTGTACAGTAAAATTATTTAGAACGATGACGTAGATAAAGCTAAACCATGTTAAAAATCGTTTTTAAATCTTTTTCTATAGTTTTTGCTTGTTATAAGTGAATAAAAAATTAGACTCCAGCTTCAAATGACTATTTTTAGGTGAACAACACTACCACTATAGTTGATATAATCTTTCGCATTCATGCGAAGTCAAAGCAGTTGCATTATATTTTTCGTTTACCCTAAATGAGGGATTAAACTTTTTCGTAGTTAACAAAAATTTTTCGTAGTACGTTCATTGTTAACTGAATTTAGTTTACATTGACAAAAATTTGGTTTAGTTTGAAGAATGTAACATTCGTAGATTATTGCTAATTAAAAAAACAATCTATAGTGATGATGTCAGTTAAAACATCATTCAATATTATTTAGTCAATAATGTATAAGCGATAGAAATCATTTTGAATAAGATTTTTTTTTCCGAAAAAGTTCGTACTTCTTTGTTTTTGATGTGGATGCAAAGTGATATTTTGTATTCTTATCATCATCTGATTATTTGATTTTAGATTGAGTCAATAGTAAAATCATGGTTGGCAGCATCAGCTAACATTCAATTTTGTTTTTGTGAACCTGTTGCGGATAGAATTAATTTTAAATTACGAAAAAGTAAACCCATTTGCAGCTTTGCATGAAAAACCAAGATGATTGAAGATGTATTAATGATGTTAGTACTATAGAACATTGAAGGTTAATGAACATGAACATCTTCATCATTTGTCTGTTCTAATATTTATAAAAACTCTACTTGTCATCATTGTTGAATATCATCTTTTAAAATAGATTCTAGCTTTGATAACAATGATTTGTGAGAAGTTGAGTATTTTTCTGAAAGAAAAAGGTGCTAAAATTATTTTCAGTTCCGAAAAATTTTCAATAAATCGATCTTGGATCGATTCTTACAAAATATAAACAAACTCAATCAAGAAATTTTTTATTGACAAACATGTAACCATCACAATGCAACTTATCATATTTGGATTACGAATATACTTAATTATGGTGCTAATAATCTCAATCAAAGTATTTGTTAATTCTTAAATTTCTTTTTCTATTAACGGAGAAACTCATACTTAATGTACACATCAATGAAATAAAACTCAAGCAAAAAAAAATAAAGAATCAAATCTATCTGAACATGAACTTCAAAGCAGTTTTTTCTTTTATTTAATTATAAAATAAAAATCTCTTTTTGTTTCTCTTTAGATTCGATATGTGAATGACCGATAGATAGTAAGAGTTTCAACTTTCAATGATTTAAATGAAAATTCAATAAAAACTTTTTAATGTAACCATAAAATACAAGTACTTATATTTAATATATTCGATCAAGAACTGTGCTATAAGAGAAGAATTTTCCAACATTCTATTTAGATAGGAAGAATTCATCTATTTCAAAAAAAATTTACATCTGAAAGAAATGTTTTAAAATTTATGAATCGATAATAGAAAAGACGATATTGTGAAAATAAAACCCAATGATTTCTTAACATCTCTATCAAAGTAGAGAATTGAATAAAACAATAATTATCATCTCTTAATAGATTTATCTTCTTTTTTTTTCTTATTACTTCACCGTTGTACACATTCGTTTTTTTTTACTGATTGATTATATGTGGAACGAAAATTAAAAGTTGGCTTTTTCAACTAGAAATATCAAAGAATACTGTTTGCTTTTAAAGTATATTATTATTAAAACTAAATCAACAACAAAAATAAAATTTAGTTCATGATCTACTGTCATATGAATTAAACGACGTTTCTATACATTACAAGCATTACAAGATGCATCTACCGCCAACGACATCTATTTGAAATCATGAAGCATTGAATAAATCATCCAGAATATTTTTACATGGTATAATACAAAACTGAATTTGTCACGAGGACAGAACATCTTCATGCGACTATACACTAAATTTAAAATCTTCCAATACACGAATAAGACTGGAGTCCACTTAAGATTTCTAACTTATCATTTAAAGATATTATTAGAAAAAAGTATTCGAATGTTTGACTCTTATTAATTAATGAGAAGCCCATCGATTTGACAAAAGAAAACCACCATTTATAATTTTTATTTTTTCGAATAAAATCAAGGTCTATAATAAAATTGAATGATGAAAATC